TTTCACCTTCTCAGCTTCATGAGGGATGTTGTCACACTGGGTGTGTTCTCTCAGTCCGCTCTTCTCCCTCAATGTTCTACGGGTAACGTCTATCCTTGTGGTTCCAATTGCCTCATTCCCTCCTCACCCCCGTATATTGTTGTCAAAGATTTTATTTATTTATTTATTTGAAAGAGCACACATGAGAGACAGCACAAGCAGGGGGAAAGGCGGAGGCCGAGGGAGAAGCAGACTCCCTCCCTGCTGAGCACGGAGCCCCACATGGGGCTCCATCCCAGGACTCTGGAATCATGATCTGAGCCCAAGGCGATGCTTAACCGACTGAGCCACCCCGGAGCCTCTCTCCCATATATTGCTGATCTTATGAAGACCACCCACATAGTTCCCAATTCCTTTATCCTGGTTTATTAGGTGTTTTGAATTCTCCCCACAATAACCAAGGCCGTACCCAGCATTCTTACACCCACCTCCTGGTCTGTGTGTGTTTCGTTCGAGTACATGCTAAGGGCGGATTGCTGGGCCATTATGCTTGGCGCGTGTGTGCAACTTTTCTCCGTATTGCCACATAGCTCTCGAACACACTGCCCTGTTTACAGCTCCCTATCTTCCCCTCTCTCTCCTCTGCCAGAGGGCAGCCAGGTGGCAGGAGCCATCCCCATCATTAACAGAGCCGGAGCCCGGTGTCAGCCGCCTTGGCAAGAATATTCTCTTTGAGTAATGACAACAATCTTCCCAGGCAGGCAGTAGCCTGTTTACAAGAAACCCGAGCAGTCCAGGAATCTGCCCCAGGCCACAAAGATAACAAGTGGCCAAGCAGCACTAAACCTGACCCGGTAACACCTGTAAAGACTGGCCCTTGCGGGGAGAGAGCGATGGAGGGGAGACGCCCCCCCAATGGCAGCTTGTCCATCTGGTTGCTGAAAGCTGAGAGAGGAAAGATTCCACTGTTCAACTTTTTAAATTATGAAAGTCAGCCCACACGCACGAGAGCATATAGAACACGGACAGAAAAGCAATAAAATGAACCGGGGGTAGGAGAGGAGAAAAACCAACATTAAAGGGATCTAGGTACCTACAGGGTGGTGGTGGGGGGGCGTCCTTATTAGAAAATTATATTGGAAACCTGTATTTTTCAAATTATGTATTAACTTTCCCTTCAATTACTAGGAATCAGCGATCATTTTATGGCGGAAACCTGCCTTCCCCTGTGCTCGGCCGAGCTGACATCAACCCCATGCAGTGATCGCAGGAGCAACAATATCGTCCCCCCCCCCCCAACCCCAGGTGGAGAGGAGCGTGTCACCAGCGGTGACAGCCTGGGCAGGGACTGGAAGCAAGGAGAAAAACAAGTGCGAGTCCGGGGAAGAAAAGGGATAAGAGAAACCGATTCCGTACTCTGCAGCTGCCTTCTGTTCACCCCCCAGAGAGGCTGTGCACTGTGTCCCGTCTCTTAGCTTTGCACCTTTTCTAAAGAAACTTCCCCCTTTTATTTTAAGCAAGAGAAGGACGCAAGTATTCCAGAAATCAGCGGGGCCAGATACCTCCTCGAAGGCCGGATGCCCACTCGCAGGAGGAAACCGCTGGGCCGCTGCTGTTTGGGTTTCAGCCTCTGTGTTTTACACACACACGTCCACCGTGCATTCGAGGTTTTAGTGTTTGCTTTACTCTAGAAGAAAACGACTCCCGAAACCGAGCCCGCAAAGCAGACCAGCTGTGAACGTCAAGTGTCACAGGAAACCGACCGGGTGTGGGTCCGGAACTGAAAACCTTCTCACAAAGCACAGGAAGAGCATCGCAGCTGAAGGGGACAGTTTCCTGAGCTAAGTCGAAGAACATAAACCACTTCGTGTGCTTTTTTCCACCCAGTTTTCTATGTGTGGTGAAATACACATGACATGAACTTTATCATCTCAGCCATACAGCTCCAGGTATAAAACGCATCCATGTGTGTCTCCATCCCCACCGTCCACCCCCAGGACTCTCGCCAACTCGTCAAACTGAACAAGAACTCCCCACACCCTTCCCCCGGCCCCGCTCCAGCCCCTGGCAACCAGCATTCTACTTTCTGTATGATTTTGACTACTCTCAACATGTGAGTGAAATCATTCACTACTTGCCTCTTTATGTCTGGCTTATTTGACTAAAGCAGAATGTCCCCAACACACATGCACGCTGCAGCAGGTGTCAGAACGTGCTTCCTTTTTAAGGCTGGATGAGTCCACAGTATGTGGGTATCACCTTCTGCTAACTCAGTCCTCCACTGACGGACACTTGGGGGACTTCCACGTTTCAGCTCTTCTGAATAATGCTGCATAAAAACATTCTTATTTGCCATGTGAACCAAGCTACCAACATCATTAAATGAGTCATAACCTAGGGCCCTAGAATTTATGTAATTTTCATCTTTACAGCATCTTTGGCAGATGTTCTTGGCCTCCCAGAACCAAAGATTACTATTTTGGTTTTTTTTTTTTTAATTAATTGAAGAGGAAACTAATTATTCACTCAAGAGGCCACTGATTGACATCGACCCAAAGCAATTTTGGTATTATTTTTCTAGGGGAACTGGTTTCATTTGGCCAAATCTATTAATAGAATTTGAACCAATGTCTTGAACAATGTCTTCTTCCCTATTGGAGAGGTGAGCCATTCTAGGATAGGGGTTACAGATGCTTTCATTGTGTCCCTGCTGTAGACTACCACAGGTCTCAGGACATGGTGACTTCAGCTACTTTAACTGAGAGGTAGGTACCCAAAGATAAAAAACATCTTCCCCCACACCGAAATATTGACATCTTGCCATTGCTTCCACATTCTTTTGTCTTGTACTAAGCGTTATGGCCTTGAATCAAATAAACAAAACACTGGCTTGCGACATAGGCAATCGGCACTACCAAATAACATGGACCTCCTTGGGTATTAGCCAAAGGAAGGTCTCTGTCTGGCATTTATTACCAGATTCTCCCTTCTCCGCAACTCCACATCCCCAGCCCTGGGCCCACAATAATCCCTCGCACTCTAAGACAGCGTGCAATTAATTTCTAGAGGGAACCTCTCAAATCACAAACCTGCTTGCGAGATGCCTAAGATAACTGTCCACTTCCATGGGAAAAGCTTACTCCGTGGTTATTGGGGAAAATGCTATTTGGACCCTGAGATGGGCAGAGATCCAAACAATGGTCCGGCGGATGCTTTGAATGGTGTGGAACTAGTGTGGAAGGGAATGGATTCTTCTGAAGGGTTCTTAGGACAAAGAAGAGCATAAGTTGGCAAGTCAGACCAATAGCATATGAAGGAATTTCAGGGTAAGAGCAGTGTGTGGGGAAAGTTTGTAGGCCTTTGTCAATGGAACAAAGAATCAGAAGAGAGTTTTTCGATGAATGAGCCCAATTGGGCTAGTGGGAGGGAGCCAGGCAAGACTGTGACTAAGGTTACTTCATTAATTTTTAATTCCCTTTTCCCTTTCTCCCTCTGTTTCCTTTTTACTTCCAAGGATATTCACATTTTGGCATTGCTTACCCATTCCTTTGTCTTACGAGTCACGATTATTCGAGGATTTATTTAGTGAATGTTGACCAGCACCTGTCACATGTTAGGTACATCGTCATGGAGTGCAGAGCTGGACTAGTCTGGGACTGTCTCCTCTAAGCACTTACAGTCCCCCCCCAAATGCTTGGGATAGTATGCAATAATTGGCAAATTTTATACTCGAATGTTTTTGCCAATTCTTTTTTTATTTGCATTCCCTATTTCTGTTTCTCTGCCCTTTGTTCCGTTGTGTTTTTTAGGGTCCCCCCGCCCCGCCCTTTATGTTATCCCTCAGAAGACACAGGCCCAGAGAGAAGATGGTTTTCCTGGCTCTCAGGTTGAAGTTTTAACCTATCATAAGAAAGGTAAGCTATCTTTCCCCTTTCCTTCTCAAAATGAGAGTAAAACTCAAGGCTGCTGTGTTTCTCCTTGTAATTCTTTAATTAGGATCAACTAGGATAAAACCTGCCCACTAATTTGAGATAAAACATGCACTGTTTCAGCCTCCTAATTTCTTTTTACCCATAGGGAAGGTTCCAGACTCTCTGGTCACTCCCATGGAATTGATCTCCATTGTCACAAATGTGCCTTACTCTCCCCCACACATTCCTTCCCCTCTGCAGTTTTCATCTTCCTCCTCTGAGCCACCTCTGTTCAGCTCCTACCAGCCACCTGCCTAGTGTCATGACTTTGTTCTGTGCCTTTCATTTTGTTGCATTATCCTTTTCCCCTCATGAACTGATCCTGACAACTTTGCCCTGACTCTTGGTTCTTCGGGACACCAGCCTGTAGTAACTCAATACGCTTATCTTGTATCTTCCCCTTATTTCTCACATGATTATTCTGTCTCCCTTAAGCAACCCCTGGGTAGCCCCATGACGTCTATGTCCTTTATACGTACAGAAAAATATGTTTTCTGTTCTCTCATTCCTGGTCCTCTGGGAAGGACCCAACTCACCCCCCTCCAACCCTTCAGTCTCCCACTCCCACCCCTGCCTCTTACATACTTCAAAGCAGATGTCTGGTCCCAGGCTAAACAGAGTCAGCCTCCTCAATGGGGGAAAGGTCAAATCTGCTCAAACATGTCAAGACATTTCACAAGCATTTGGTTGACCTCATGTACTAATATCTAAATACTGAGTAATACAGAGTAAAAAATTAAAAGACAGCCAAACAACCCTTTGGGTCATCTTTGAGTCCCTTGAGGTGTTCTGAAAGCTTTTTTCATGTTGACTTTAAAAAAAAAAAAAAAAAGCCAAAAATGAGATCTAGCCTAGATTTTGCCCACGATGAGGCTTTTCCCATTTCCTCAGTTGAGGAATGAGGATTCTAAGACTCTCTGGAAGGTCCCTTTGAACTTTGGAAGTCCCAGATTCCACCTGCTGCTCTGAGGGGCCCCTGGCTGCTGGCGACGCCCTGGGTGTGACGTCACAAGGGCTTTATGCCGTACCCAGTGCTGCTTCTTGTGAAACACCACGCAGGCAGGACAGCCCAGCACAATCCAGTATTTGCTCAGAATCCAGGCACCGTAAAGTCAGCCATTCAGAAAAAAATCTCGTCTTTCAGATCATTCAACCTAGACTCCTGCCTCATTTCACCCGTGACTCAGCTTAGACAACTGATCAACTACAGAGCAGCTGCTGTCTTAATGGTAGGTGGGGGAGCTCAGTGTGCTGAAAAGTGGGAACACGGGGGGGGCTCCTTCCATCTGGATTCAGTGGAAGCCATGCTTCCAATCACTGATCCTTGATGGAACGCTGGCTCTGGGGATTGGGATTAAGAAGATCTGAGTTTTAAAGAAGAGGTTGTAACTGTTAGGCTGGATAGTGCCACTCTAGAGGTAGGCCAGGCATTTATATTGACTTTGGTTCTCGAAAATCTTACTATTTATAGAAAATTTAGTTGTGACATCATCTAAAGCAGAGCCTGTTTTCCTGACTCTGAAAAGACACTTTAAAACAAACACAACAACTGACTCCAGATCCGGTTTAGGGTTTCGGTATGTGAGCGTATTTGCGTTGGGTGGGGGTGGGGGTGGGGGTGGGGGTGGTGATGGGGGGAGGGGATGCGAGGACAGATGAGGCGCATATTCCAGAGAACCAGGGGGAGTTCTGCTTTAAGAAAGTGTGGTGTTAAGAAAAATTTACATTCATAAAAATTAAAAAAAAATGGGTGGGGGTAATTTTCCTAATGTTCACATGTAGAGAATTTCCTCCAAATTTTCTTAATATAGTAGACTTCTCCCAGAGAATATGGATGTATTTCCTTCTCCAGCACTAACCCTATCATGAACCCCCATGCACATGTTGTGTACTCAATCCGGGTGCCTCCCCTTGCTTACTTTCTTCCTTAGTTTCTAACTGCTTTTGGTGTTCCGTGGAAGTTAAAAGTCTCAGCAGGTCACATTTATCGGAAGTAGCAGCTGTGTTAGAAGTTAACCAGCTTCATTCTCCTCCGTCTCGTTTCCATCCATCTGCCTGTTAGAGGCTACCTTCTCCTCTTACACATTTGACAGTTTTTCTTCGCATTACCAAAGATTTCGTTTTTATTTTTTTAAAGACTGTATTTATTTCTTTGAGAGAGAGAGAGAGAGAGAGAGAGAGAGAGCGCGCACAAGCAGGGGGAGTAGCAGGGAAGAGAAGCAGGCTCCCCGCTGAGCAAGGACCGGATGCAGGACTCGATCCCAGGACCCTGGGATCACCACCTGAGCTGAAAGCAGGCACGTTACTGACTGAGCCACCAAGGCACCCCAGAGATTTCATTTTTACAGCGTAATACGTCCAGTCAAGGAGACTGCACTGTGCACTGGGGGTGTTTGTCGGGGTGGTAAAGCCCGTGTCTTGGAACGCTCCCGTATGAGTAAACGCCCGACCCAGTTTTGCGCCCCTCCCCTGACCTAGGATGCTCAGGACCAGCCCGTGCCAGGCCCCCTGATTCCACAGGGTCGTGATGCCTGCGGGGGTTCTGCAGCTCTTGCGGACACTCCATTTCCCCCCAGCCAGGCTGTTCTGTAACTCGTCCCTAGTTAGCGACTTGGCGGCTGGGAGATGGCTGGGTGGGGAAGGGCGGTGGGGACGGAGGGCGCGCGCTGCCTGCACAGTCTCCTCCAGCGAAGGAGCGGGGCTGGCCCTCCGCGCGGTGAGTGCGCCGTTGCTGCAGGCCCGAAGCGTGGGTCTCCGTGACTCCCCCGTCCCGGGTCCCAGCGCCTCCCTCCCGCCTCGGCAGAGGAGCCAGGACCGCCAAGTCACCTGCCCCCGAGTACAGCGGTCCTGGCCACCGCGGCCTGCACGCGGTTCCCACGCGGGGGAGGAGAGTTTCTTCTGTGTCGCTAAGGAGGCCGGGCTGACCCTCAGCGTCACCCTCTGCCCGCTGCTGCCTCCCTCAGACGCACGCGTGCAGCCGGCTGGATCCCTCGGGTTTGCGCTGGCCGCTCCCGCCCACCGCGTGCCGCAGCCACGACGCTCTCCGCGCCCGCGCTCCAGCCCGTCCCACCAGCGAGGGCGCAGCAGGCGCACCGCACGCCGCCCGCGGGGTCACGACGCGCCCTCCCCAGCAGTGGGGTCGCAAGGGCAGGGCGGGCGATGCGGCCCCCACGCCCCCCACGGCCGTCGCGCAGGACCGCCCTTGCCCACTGCGGCAGCTCGGGCTCCCGGGAACAGCCGCGCTGGGGATGCGCTCGCAGGCCGTGTCCGGGCGTGGTCCGGGGCCGACACTGCGGGCGAAGCGGCCCGGCTCCAGCGGCGCGCTAACCTCAGCAACAAAACCGCAGTTATTTGCCAGCAAAAAACGGTTTAAGGAAGAGCAGAGAACTGCGACCCAGGCCGAGGCCGCAGAACGAGCGCACGCGCCGGCGTCGCGGCAGACGGGAGGACGAAGTGTCGGAGTCCCCCGGAATTCCGAGTATAGTGGCTTTTCATTGGCTGAGCTGCGGCTGTCCCTCATTGGTCGAGCTGTGATTGTCCCTCATTGGCTGGCCTGTAGTCACGATCCCTCATTGGCTGAGCTGTAACTGCAGTCCCTCATTGGCTGGCCTGTAGTCACGATCCCTCATTGGCTGGGCTGATTCTGAGGGAGGAGGAAACTCTCCTTCCTCGGGCTGGGATCACAAAATACAATCCCGTGGAAGACGCCGCCTTTCCCGTTGACTCTGCAGTGGGCCAGGAGCGCTGGGCCTGAGCGCTCCCGCTGCGCCCTTCTGACTCCCTTCTTTTGGTTTCACAAGAGGAAGAGCCTAGACTGTGGTGTGCTCGCAGGAAGGAGCTCTGTCAGCCCCGTGGGCGCTCCGGGCTGGATGGGTCTTCGGCGTCATCCCAAGTTGCAGGACGGCAGTTGGGCCCATCAGCCCGTCTTTAAACACGAGTCCCTCCGGGAGGGGAACCTTGCGCAAAGCAGCCTGCCCCACCGGAGGTAAGGATGGGGAAGGGACTCGGTCGAGAGCCAGTACTCCAGGCAGTAGGGGAATGGGCGCCCCAGCCCCAAGGGTGATGTGGTGGCCCCACACGGCACTGTAAGACGTTCCACCGGGTGTGTTCGGGTCTCTGGGCGGCCAGGTGCAGCCTCGGTGGTTTGATGCGGTGCAGTTCCCGAGCGTGCTGGGTTCCGTGGGGCGGGGATGGTCTCTTCTGTGAACAAGAGCCGTAGGAGCCGGAGCGCCTGTGCAAGCTTGTTCTAGTGCATGAAGTCAAAACTGTGGAGGCCGCACTCTGTCCTCCAGTCAGAGAACTGGGATGAAAATGGCAATACAAAAGGGTCAGGTGCAGGAAGACACTTGGAAGAATGAGGGCGTGAGGAGGACCCGCGCCAGAGGGCCCTGGAAAGCGGGTGACACTGGACAGCTCAGGAGGCTCATATCCTTGATTCCTTCTAACCCCGGGCCAGGCTGTCACCTGATTTAAAGGGTCAGGATGGGAGAGAAGTGGCTGCTCTGTGCACGTGTTTACAAGCATTGATGCCATTTGATAGGTACTGTTTTAATCTCCATTTTTAAATTTTTTTGTGAAAGTAATGCATACATTAAAAAGTAAAGCCTAAAATAAAAACAAAAATATTAGAGTCAGCAGGGCCTTGCCCACCTTCCACCCTAATCCTCAGTACAACTCCCCAAAAGCAATGACTTTCAACTCTTTTAATATATTTCATATGATAGTTGCCTTCATATTTTAAATAATATCCCTAAGCTGCTATTTCTTGGCTTATTTCACACATCAACTTCATTTTTCGTACACAACTTCTATTTTTTTTAGAATCGCATTTTCGTTATGAATCTGTAGCCAGTGTGTTACACCTTTATCACTCTACAAATATTCCTTAATTTTTACCATCAGATAGGTCATCTACTTGCATTTCCCTGCCCCACATCATCTATCAAATCTGATATTCTTTTGACCCATCTCCTTTCTGGGGAGGGGTGGAGTGCCAGAGCTCACTACAGCCTCCGTTCCAATGTGGGCAGCTGCCTTCCAGGCCTCCCCACCCCCCAGTACAACAGCCCTCTGGGGCCATCTCTGCCTCCTTCCTGGGTTGGATCCCCCACCCTGGGCCATCTCTTCTTTGTCTACTCTTCTGTTTTTTTTTTTGTTTTTTTTTTTTTTACTCTTCTGTTTTGTTGGCATTTGCAGTCCACATTAGTCTCCCAAAAAAGAATACGTGGAGTGTAATTCTTTCTGAGTCCTTTACAGATCTGAAAATATCTTTATTCCTCTCTCAAGGTTAATTAAAATTTGACTAGGTAAAGAATTCTAGGTGAAATACCATTTAACTTAGAATTCTAAAGCCACTTCTCTATAATCTTTTAAGAACCCAGTGTTAGGGCAGCTGGATGGCTCAGTCGGTTAAGCCTCAGACTCTTGGTTTCTGCTCAGGTCATCATCTCAGGGTTGTGAGGTCAAGACCTGCCTTGGACACTGCACTCAGCATGGAGTCTTGAGACTTTCTCTCTCTTTCTCAAATAAATAAAGCTTTAAAAGAGAAAAAAAAAAAACAAAAAACCTCAGTGTTGCTGTTGAGAAGTTTGATATCCTTCTGAAACTCCTCCTGTATGTCAACCATTTTTCTGCACTTGGAGGCTTTTAGGATATTTTTACATTCATTGCACTGGGCATTTTGCGAGCACTTTAAGTTACGGGGAAAATATATTATTTATTTAATAATTTCCTGTCCTCCATTTTTCTCTGATCATCTTTTGGAACTCGTACATTTTTACTAGTTAGATGTTATACCTCCAAGAATGAAATATCACATCTCTCCATTTTTTCTTATGTTTTCCCTTATGTCATTTTGTTGTGCCTTCCAGCATATTCCTTTCACACTATTTTCCAACTTACATATATATATATATTTTTTTTTTTTAGATTTTATTTTATTTTATTTGACAGATAGAGATCACAAGTAGGCAGAGAGGCAGGCAGAGAGAGAGAGGAGGAAGCAAGCTCCCTGCCGAGCAGAGAGCCCGATACGGGGCTCGATCCCAGGACTCTGGGATCATGACCTGAGCCGAAGGCAGAGGCTTTAATCCACTGAGCCACCCAGGCGCCCCAACTTACATACATTTTTAAAGTTTTCCCAATCATGTTTTAGGTTTCAGCAACCTTTTGTTGTTGTTGTTCTGTAATGTTTTCTTTTTCATAGACTGTTTCCCTGGTTTTATGAGCATGGTATCTTCTTGAGGATGAGCAAACAAAATCAGTGTTTTGATTTTTTTAAAGCTCTCATTAATTTGTTCCCCTTTTCTGGTTCTGTATGTATTTTTTGTCTTACTGGAGGGTTTCTTCAAAGGCCTAGGTCAGTCCTTGGAATTTGTATCAGTCCGCTGGGGCCGTTATAACAAAATGCCACACACAGAGGGGAGGGGGGGTTAAGAAAGTGGGGGGGGGGGGGGGGGGGGGGGAAGGGGCGATGCTTAAACCACAGACATTTATTTCCCTCCATTCTGGAGGCTGGAAGTTCCCCATCAAGGTGGCTCCTCTGAGTTCTCTCTCCTTAGCTTGCAGATGACTTTCCCCTGTACATGCACCCCAAGTGTCTCTTCCTCTTCTTCAAGGACACCTGTGCCATTTCAAGTCAGGCCCAGGGAGGGGTGAAGACAGCTGACTGCTGTGCGTATAAACGCGTGGCCTTCCCCGGAGTCTCCCGGCCCTGCACCTGTCACACCCTGCACCTCCAGTCCCCTCCCTGGCCGCCCTGGGGTTCCACCTCAGTCCTCTCCCTGTGCCGGTGGGGTCCAGGCTTCCTCCCGCTTCCCCATAGTTACCTCGCATGCAGCAGCTTCTGTCGGGTCTTTCAAACCCATGTTGAAATCTCCCGTGCGTGGACCTTCCCTCTAACACCATTTTCCCAGGAGAGTTTTTAGATTGGAAGATTGGTTTTTATTCACAGTTGAGTTGAGAGGGGGAGGGCACAGGCATACATTTCCAGTCTGTCATCTCTAAAAGGAACCACTCAAGACTTTTTTGATAAATTGGGAAGTATTTCCAACAAAAGGGAAATAGAAAAATATCATGAACGCTCCATGGATATGTCATCAAACGTTATCAAACCTTATCATTTTGCCACATTTGCTTAAGAGATTAAAAAGCTCAAGTGTTAAGAATGTAGTAGGAGGGGTGCCTGGGTGGCTCAGTGGGTTAAAGCCTCTGTCTTCAGCTCGGGTCATGATCTCAGGGTCCTGGGATCGAGCCCCACATCGGGCTCTCTGCTCAGCGGTGAGCCTGCTTCCCCCTCCCTCTCTCTCTCTGTCTACTTGTAATCTCTGTCTGTCAAATAAATAAATAAAATCTTTAAAAAAAAAAAAAAAGAACGTAGTAGGAACTCTTCCCTCTCTTCCCCAGTGCCTTCCCCCATAGGAGTAATCCCATCCTAAACTTGGTGGGCCGCTTGCACATGGGTTTTCCCCAACATTTGCTGCCTCCAGGTGTATCCCTAAGCAATTGCGCTGGTTTCCATGTTTCCCATATACATCTTGGTAGCATCACACCCTGCTTGGTTTTCTGTGCAACATTATGGTGTTTCCAATATTGATACATGTGGCCCCAGTGGATCTGTTTGCTGTGTTCAGGGAACAGTTCACTTTATTATTCTCCTATTGAGGGAAACTTGAGTTGCTTGTGGTTTCTACTACAAACATTACTGCAGTAAACATTATTTTTTCTGAAGATTTTATTTATCTTTAATTAAATTAAGATTTAATTTATCTTTTCAGAAGATTTTATTTATTTATTGGTACGAGACAGCTCACCAGCAGGGGGAGAGGCAGAGGGAGAAGCAGGCTTCCCGCTGTGCAGGGAGCCCGACAGGGGGCTGGATCCCAGTACCCTGGGATCATGACCTGAGCCCAACGCAGACGCTTAATGGACTGAGCCACCCAGGCATCCCATGCAGTAAACATTCTTGCATGTATCTCCTGATAACGTGTGAGAGTCTCTTCAAGGCATGTTCCTAGGGATAGAAATGTGTCAGCACACTATTTGTGTAAATTATCCCCTGAACCAGGTAACTGTCAAAATGGTGGTACCATTTCACAGTCCCATCAGTGCTGGACCAGTTACCATTGTCCACTTTCCTTCCAGCATGTGAACCATGCGGTTTTGTGTTGTTTTGTTTAAGTTGATATCGAGTCAGATTTTTATTTTTTTATTTATTTTATTTTTTTTAAAGATTTTATTTATTTGACAAAGAGAGATCACAAGTAGAGAGAGAGAGAGAGAGAGAGAGAGGAGGAAGCAGGCTCCCCACCTAGCAGAGAGCCCGATGCGGGACTCGATCCCAGGACCCTGAGATCATGACCCGAGCTGAAGGCAGAGGCTTAACCCACTGAGCCACCCAGGCAGCCCTGAGTCAGATTTTTATTTTTATTTTTTATTTATTTTTTTTAAAGGATTTTTATTTATTTATTTGACAGAGAGAGATCACAAGTAGACAGAGAGGCAGGCAGAGAGAGAGAGAGAGGGAAGCAGGCTCCCCGCTGAGCAGAGAGCCCGATGCGGGACTCGATCCCAGGACCCTGAGATCATGACCCGAGCCGAAGGCAGCGGCTTAACCCACTGAGCCACCCAGGCGCCTGAGTCAGATTTTTAAAAGAGAGATTTAAAACTCCCAAGATGGACTGAGCATGAATAAGGGATGAGTAAACCTGCTTTCACTGTATGTATTTCCTTTAGCTGAAGGCTCAGGAGTGTGTATCAGTTACTTTAAATAAGTGCATGTTTTGTAAGCATGTTATACATTTTGCTGTTAAGCGACCTTCAAAATATCAGTTTTAAGAGTTTTTGCTAATAGAAAATAAGATATACTTTATCTCATCCGAATATATGGATAAATGCATATTAAAATGATCTTGTTCTTAAAACAATGAAAATTGAATTTAAGCCAAGTAAATGATCTGGAAATCACTGAGATCTCTAATATAGTCTCTCTTAAATTCTTCTGATGTAGGAGATTTAAAAATGGACCTTCAGAAATACTAGGTTTACAATGAGAGGCGTCACGTTTCAATGTTTATTCTATGGATCCTTGATATTTGGGATCTGGACAGCTCTGTTGTATGTATATATTCACCATAATCATGTAAGCAACTTGGAGAAGAAAAACCAGGGGACTGCATTAATTTGGTCCCTTGGAAAAAAATTGCAACAGCAAATTACCCGGGACCCCAAGCAAATACCGAGACTGCATGTAAGATTTGAAATGCCTGACAAATATGAAACTACAGAATACAAAACCTTTTTAAGATCAGGTAAGTCTTACGATTTTCTCTATTAGCCATTTTAAGGGGAAAATGTACCATAAGTTTAATATTTGGAAGAGAAAAACAATTTCTTAGAGCAACTCAATTTTTAAATTATAAAATATTTCACATATATACAGGAAAGAGTAAAACAGGCATGTATCACCTAAATTTAACAATTTTTAAATATAGTTTGCTGTATTTATTTCAGATAGTGTTCTGTTTTTTTCACAGAAATAAATGTTAACGGGTACCATTAAGGACTTCACCCCTTCCTTCTCCTCCTTTTACCCTCTGAGGTGGTAATTAACCTGAGTTGATGGATATCTTTCTTCCCTTCCTTTTATGTGTGATCTCCAGCAAAATACAATATTATATATTTTTAATATGTTTGTAGATACTCTGGAATGAATTGTAATACTGTCATGAATATGGATTGTAAGTCTTCGTGTGGACATAACTTCATTTCTCTTGGGTTTGGGACAGATGGGATGTACAGTAGGTATATGCTTAACTTTAAGGAAAATGACAATGTGTTTTCAAGATAGCTGTGCCATTTACTTTCCCCTCTGGCATGTACGGAATCTCTCCCTTTGCTCCAAATCTTCACCAACGTTTGACAAGCTCAGTTTTTTAGATTTTAGATATTCTAATGGGTAAGTAATGGAACCATTGCAGCCTTAATCTGCATTTCCCTGATGACTAATGATTTTGAGCATCTTTTCATGTGCTTCATGGCCACCCGTATATCTTCTTTTGTAAAGTGTCTCTTCAAGTTCTTCATCTATTTTTTTTAAAGATTTTATTTACTTATTTGACAGACAGAGATCACAAGTAGACGGAGAGGGAGGAGGAAGCAGGCTCCCTGGTGAGCAAAGAGCTGGATGCAGGGATTGATCCCAGGACCCTGAAATTATGACCTGAGCCAAAGGCAGAGGCTTTAACCCACTGAGCCACCCAGGCGCCCATGTCCTTCAACCATTTTTAAATCGGAATGTTTATCTTCTGATTTTTAAGATTTTTAAAAATATATTTTGGATTCAAGTCCTTTGATATGTGAGTTGCAAATACTCTACGTCTGTGCGTTGTCTTTTTAGTCTCTTTTTAAAATTGAGACATAATTGACGTAGAACAACTTACTCATTTTGGAAGTACAGCAGAATGATTTGATACATGTGTACGTGTATATATTGCAAAATGATAACCACAGCAAGTTTAGTTAACAGTTGTGTCCATCACACACAGTTACAATTTTTTTCTCTTGTGATAAGATCTGTGCTGGCAAGTTTCAATATACAATATTACTATTGTTAACCATAGTCACCATACTGTACATTTTGAATTCTCTCTTGAGTGGTGTCATTCAAGAAGAAAAATTTTAAATTTTGATGTTCAATTCATCCCAATTTCTTGTATGGTTCTTTTTTTTAAAATCTTTTATTGAAGTAAACTATGCCTATGTCAAGTGCACAAATACTCCCTTCTCTGTTTTTTTAGAAATTTTAAGATTTTAGGTTTTACTTTACATTTTACATTAGGGCTGTGGTCCCTTCGGAGTGAATTTCTGTGATGGGAGGGTGAGGATCAATGTTCATTTTCCTCATGTGGATATCCATTTTTCCAGCACCATTTCTTGAAAAAAATCTCCCTTTTTCCATCTCAGCATCTTTCAAGAAACAGTTAACTCTTTTTGGTGGGTCCCTTTCTGAACTCTGTTCTCACTCTCTCCAAAATTGTTTTGGTTATTGTATGTGGTTAGCTTGTTTGGATAGGTTTTAGAAACAGTTTGTCAATTTCTTCCAAAGAGGCCACTGGTATTTTTTTTTAATATTTTATTTGTTCATTTGACAGACAGAGATTACAAGTAGACAGAGAGACAGACAGAGAGAGAGAGAGAGGGGGAAGCAGGCTCTCTGCTGAGCAGAGAGCCCGATGCAGGGCTCGATCCCAGAACGCCGAGATCATGACCTGAGCCAAAAGGCAGAGGCTTTAACCCACTGAGCCACCCAGGCGCCCCAAGACCACTGGTATTTTTAATTGTATTGGCTCTGTGGGTCAATTTGGAGAGAACTGACATCTTAATAATATGGCTTCAGCTGTGTGGCACATATTTTGATACACTGAATTTTCATTTTCATTCAGTTCTCTGTATTTTTATATTCCCTTTGAGACTTTCTCTTTGGATTATTTGGAAATAGATTGTTTAATTTCAGAGTCTTTGAATAATTTTCTCCTCTCTGCTACTGACATCCAATCTGATACCATTATAGTCAGAAAATATACTCTGTATGATCTCAGTTCTTCTAGGTTTTTTGAGGTTTGTTTTATGATCCAGAATATGGTCCATCCCTGGTGAACGCTCCGGGCACGTCTGGAAAAACCATGTATTTGCTATTGTTGAGTACAGAGTTCCTTCATACACATCAACTAGATCCTGTTGGTTGATTTTATTGTTCACTTGTTGATGTCCTTGTTGAGTTTTTGGCTAGTTGTCCTGTCAGTTGCTAAGACTGGATGTTGAAAACCCCAACTATAATTGTGGATTTGTTAGGTTCTACTTTAACTCTCACCGGTTTTTGCTTCATATATTTTGAGCTATCTTTTGACGTGTTTCTATTTGGAACCATTATGTCTCACTGGTGCACTAAACCTTTTATCATAAGGTCATGTCTCTGTCTCTAGTAATTTTCTCTGCTCTGAAATCTCTTTTATCTAATATTAATAGAGCCACTCGTACTTTTTTTTAAGGTAGGCTCCAAACCCAATGTGAGGATTGAACTCACAACCCTGAGATCAAGAGTCACATCCTCTATCGATTGAGGCAACCAGGCACCCCAGCTGGTTTTTTTAAAATTAATATTTGCAAGTATATCCTTTTCTGTCCTTTTATTATCAATCTACCTATGTTTCATTGAAGTAAGTTTCCTGTAGGTAGCATATTGTCGGAACATTTTTTAAATCTACTCTGTTAATCCATGCTTTTAACTGGTATATTTAGATCATTTGCATTTAAGACAATTATCGATGTCAGAGTTTCTCAGTCATTTTATTTGTTCTTTGTTTCCTCTGTTTCTCAGTCTTCTGTTTCTCTTATTTTTTGGTGAGTTACTCGAGCATTTTCAAAATTCCATCTTGATTTGTTTATAATGTTTTTTAAAAGGCTGCTTTGTATGGCTTCTTTAGTGGTTGCTGTAAGTATTAACACAATATGTCTATAACTTACCAAGGTCTCCTTGAATCAATGTTTTGTCACTTCAAGTAAAGTGTAAACCATTCCTTAGCCTCCTCATTTTAAAAATATAACTATCTTGAGTTTTGAGCACTACATCAGATGGCGTTATAATTGTGGCTTCAAAAGTCAAATATGATTGAAGAAACTTATGAGAGTTTCTTAATGAGTCTATCATATTTACCCCAATTTTCATCCATTTTGATGTTCTTTTTTCTGAAGTTCCAAGCCTCCTTCTGTTATCATTTCCTTGTTTAGAGAACTTTCTTTTGCTATTCTTTAAGGGTGGGGCTGCTAGTCACAAAGTCTGTTTTTCTTCACTTGGGAGTGTCTTCATTTTCTTGTAATTCCCAAAGGATATTTTTGCTGGGTATAGAATTTGCAGTTGGCAGTTTTTTCTTTTTTCTTTTTAAAGATTTTATTTATTTATTTGACAGAGAGGGAGAGACAGCAAGAGAGGGAATACAAGCAGGCAGAGTGGGAGCAGGAGAAGCAGGCTCCCCCACTGAGCAGGGATCCCCATCTGCGGCTCAATCCCAGGGTCCTGGAATCACGACCCCGAGTCGAAGGCAGTTGCTTCATGACTGAACCACCCAGTTGCCCCTGACAGTTCTTTTCTTTCAGCATTCAAAAATGTTTTGTCACTCTCTTCTCTCCCCCATGATTTCAGATGAGAAACCCATAGTCATTCAGGTTGTTCTTCTATGAATCCCGTGTTTTTTCTCTCTGGCTACTTTTAAGAGTTGTCCTCTGTCTTGTTTTCAGAAGTTCCATTATGATGTGTCCTGCCATGGATTTCTTTGGTTTATCCCATTTGGTGGATTTTTCAGCCTCCTGAGGCTATAGATGTCCAACTTCCCTGAATTTAGGAAGTTTCTGGCCTTATTTCCGAGAGTACTTTTTTGGCCCCACTCTGACTCCTCTCCTTCCAGAGCTTTGATAATACAAAGATCAGCTCTTTTGTTGTCTGTACACAAGTTCCTGAGACTGGTTTTTTAAAATTTTTTTAAATTAACATATAATGTTAATTATATGTGACATGGCACTATCTTGGGGAGAACCAAAGCTCCACCTGCTTCCCCCCAGGCAGCTTATGGAGGACCAGCTCCCTGCTCAGCCTGCCCACACCACCCACACAGGTAATCAGAGCTCTGCCTGCTTCTGCCAGGAAGAGGGGTGAAAGGAGTAGGTTCTGCTCAGGCCCACCCATGTCATTGCCTGCTGCTCCCTTGGGTGTGGTGGAAGGCCCACTGCCTGCCCACCACACTGAAGCCACAGGGGTCGGTGTGGTTCTCCCACTGCTGCTTGACTTGACTAGAGTAGGTTCAGCCAAAGGTTTTCTGTGGTTAGGCTTCTGTGGCCTGGTGGCTAGAGAGGACAGGTTTATCTTGGAGGTTTTGTGTGTGTGTATGTGTGTGTGTGTGTGTGTGTGTGTCTGTCTGTCTGTCAGTGGTTCTACATGGAAGCTTCTACAGACCTTTGGGATTTATGGGTGGCAACAGGGAATTCAGGAGCTCACCACGTCCTTCCTCCATTCCTGAGATCTGCCTCAGGAATCTGCCTGCTAGTTTCGACCTTTCAGAGAACTTCCCATCCTTATCTGTTGTGTCATGTCCAGGATTTCTCAGGGGCAGGAAAGAGGGCCTAGTGGAAATGGGGTTACTGCATCTTGAAGAGAATCCCTTTTTAGCTATAATACAGCCTTTTATGTCCATTTTGGAAAGCACATCATAGAGATTGGAAAAGAAAGTTTATTCTTCAAAAACAAAGCAAAATATAAATCCACCAAGGAAATATAACAAATTACATTAAGCAAGTTCTTTTTCTAACTTTTTCTCTGATCTAGAGTTGTTCTTAAAATATTCCATTACTGTTTGTGGCAATATATATTGACATCTCTAATGATTTTATTGTAAGTATTTTACTGCAGCAGTGTTTGATGTCTGCAAGCTCATCCCTACCTAGTCTTTATTGTGACTTATTCTTACCGTGAGTGTAAATAACTTTCTGGATGCTCCTTCTAATGAATTCTGTACTTTTTAAAATGATACTTTGACTCCTCTATTCTTAGACTGTTCTTTTACTTTTAACCATTTTAGTTCATGCCACTTACCTTTCATGATTATATTTTGTTTCTTCATTGACAAATAAGAGTGTTTATCTTTTTTTTTTTTGAGTGTTTATCTTTTAATAGGAAATTTACCCCATCTTCATTTATTGTTATGACTGTTATGTTTGGGTTGGCGTCTGGCCTCTTGTTTTATTCTCTGCAATGGAAGTTCTGGGCTGGGGTTTTAGCTCTCCTTCCCCACCTTTCCGAAATCCTTCAGTTACAACTAACTTCACACGACAGTGGTGAGTCATGATGGGACCAAGGAGGCCAAGCACTTCCTTCCCTGAAGATACCAAATGACCAAAGGCTAACTTGTCCATACTTTGCGGAGGAATCTGCTTTGATTTTAGCCTTATCGTCTGGAGGTAGTGTGGGTTCCAGGAAAACACCTGGCTCATTATAAAGGGAGTGAATTCAGGATATAGTTGTTCTTATGATCCTTTATCTGGTGGTAGTAATCTGTACCTACATAACTGTAATTGCCCTTTCTTGCAGGTAAGGACACTAACTATTCAAAGCCAGAATATATTGCTGGATTTTTAAAATATGGATTTAATGCCATTCTCAGTAAAAGCTTGGGCAGTGAGAGAGATGTGCCAGATACGAGGAATAAAATGTATGTTAATCCTCATTTTTTTATTGAGGTATAATTGACATATAAGATTATACTAGTTTCAGGTATACAACATAATGATATGACATTTATATATATGTGGCCAAATAATCACTACAGTAAGTCTAGATAACTGTGGCTACCATGCATAGTTACAAAAAATTTGTGTGTGTGTATGTGTGTGTGATGAGAACTTTAAAGATCTGCTCTCTTTGCTACTTTCAAATAAGCAGTATATTTCTTATCTATAGGCACCATGTGGACATTATGTCCCCATGGCTTACTTATTTTACACTGGAGTTCTGTTCCCCCCACCCCCCGGCAACCACCAGTCCATTCTCTGTATTGATGAGGTTGGGTTTGGAGGTTTGGTTGTTGTTTGTTTCCAGGTTCTTCATGTAAGTGAGATCATATTGTATTTATCTTTCTGACTTATTTCATTTAGTGTAATGCCCTCAGGAAAGATGTCATTCCTTTTTATGCTGGAAAGTATTCTGTTGTGTGTATCATAGCACGTTTTCTTTACCCATTCGTGGGCTGATGGACAGTTAGGTTGTTTCCATATCTTGACAGTTGTAAAGAATGCTGCGAGGAACATAGGGGTGTATGTATCTTTTTGAGTTAGTGTTTTCATTTTCTTCAAATGCAAACCCGGAAGTGAAATCCTTGGGTCTTACGTTAGCTCTCTTTTTAACTTTTTGAGGACCCTCCGTACTGGTTTCCACAGTGGCTGCACCAGTTTGCCTTCCCAGCAACACTGCACGAGGATTCGCTTTTCTTCACATCCTCTCCAACACTTGTCATTTCTTATCTTTTTGATAACGCCATCCTTACAGGTGTGAGGTGATATCTCATTATGGTTTGATTTGCCTTTCCCTGATCATGAGTGATGCTGAGCACCTTTTCTTGTACCTGTTGGCCATCAGTCTGCCTTCTTTGGAAAAATATCTATTCAGATCTTCTGCCCATTTTTTAATTGAATTGTTTGCTGTTGAGTTTTATGAATTCTTTATAAATTTTAGATATGAACCCCTTGTCAGATAGATGATTTTGTCTCATTCAGTAGGATGCCTTTTCATTTTGTTGCTAATTTCCTTTGCCCTGTGGGGGCTTTTTAGCTTGATGTAGTCCCACTTATTTATTGATACTTTTGTTGCCTTTGCTTTTGGTGCCAGTTCCAAAAAGTTATCACCAAGACTGATGTCAAGAAGCTTATAGCCTTTGTTTTTCTCTAGGATTTTTATGGTTTCAGGTCTTACATTCAAGTCTTTCAAGTTAATTTTTGGGTATGGTGTAAGATAGTGGTCCACTTTCATTCTTTTGCGTGTGGCTCTCCAGTTTTCCCATCACCATTTATGGAAGAGACCATCCTTTCCCCATTGTATATTCTTGGCTCCTTTGTCATAATTAATCACATATGCATAATTTTATTTCTGGACTCTATTCTGTTCTGTTGATCTGTTTGTCTGTTTTTGTGCCAATACCAAACCGTTTTAATTACCATAGCTTTGTAATAGAGTTTGAAATCAAAGAGGGTGACGCCTCCAGCTTTGTTCTTGTCTTCTCAAAAGTGCTTTACCTCTTCAGCATCTTCTGTGGTTTCATACAAATCTTAGGATTCTTTGTTTTATTTCTATGAAAAATGCTATTGGAATTTTGATATGGATTGCATCCAATCTGTATATTGCTTTGGGTAGTAGGGACATCTTAACAATGTCAAGTTCTTCCAATCCATGAGCACAGAGTATCTTTCCATTTACTTGTGTCTTCTTTAATTTCTTTCATGAATGTCTTATAGTTTTCCAGTGTACAAGTCTATAAATGAATACATATTAATTTTTTAAACAAACAGTTACTAACCAGATTTTAATTTTGGCATATTAGAAATCTTCCTGTTTTTAGGACTTGGAGTCAGTCCTAAATAATTCAAGAGCCTATTTCAAAATTCTAGAGTTTATCGTGTAGAGAACACCTTCCCCAGTTGCACCAAACGTGTTCTGGGGATTTACAAGAATTGCATCACCCACAGGATCTTTTTATTAAATTACCAGTTAGGACATTTGGCCAAAGGGATATTTCTGATACAAAATGCTTCAGACAGCTACCTATTTTTTATTCAAAATCTGCTTTTTCTTACTGTTTTCCTTCGTGTTGGTGCCTTTTTTTTCTTTAACTTGTGGCAAATTGGACATAACGTAAAAGGTACCATTGCACCATTTCTAACTGTATGATTCAGGGGCATTGAGGACCTTCACATTGTTTCAGAACCATCATCACCATCCCTCTCCAGAACTTTCTCATTAAACACTAACTCCCATTCTTCCCTCCCTCCAATCTCCCCGCAATTACCATTGTACTTTCTGTCTTTGTGAATTTTAACTACTCTTGGTACCTCGTAAAAATGGAATCATACAATAGTTGCCCAATTTATTTCATGTAGCTTCATGTCCCCAAGGTTCATTCATGTTGTAGCACCTGTGCCTTAGTGGTTCTGATGGTTTCCAGCTCAAGAGGGTTGATATTCTTTCTGAAATCAATGAGAACTTCTTAAGGAATATAGGCATCTTCCTGTCACACAGAGACAAAATCCAGGCTCCAGGAAATAGGAGAAATTGGGGCCCACTGTGTCTTGTTGCAACTTGTGTGTAACATGAACATTTCAAACCACAAATATACGAATCAATAAAGCAAGTAGGTAGCTAAATATCACTTACAGTGTGGCATACTTGAGAGACGTAGGGTTTATACGTGATGACATAGTCTATCTGGGTTGTAATGAAAGAAAAAGAATTTAAATTCATTCAAACCATATAACTTGATATGAACTTAATTTAGAGGACAGCTATTTTTTTCAAGATTTATTTATTTATATTAGAGGGGAGGGGGGGCAAATGCAGAGGGAGAGAGATTTTTTTTTAAATTTTTTATTTTTTATAAACATATAATATATTTTTATCCCCAGGGGTACAGGTCTGTGAATCGCCAGGTTTACACACTTCACAGCACTCACCACAGCACATACCCTCCCCAATGTCCATAACCCCACCCCCCTCTCCCAATCCCCCTCCCCCCAGCAACCCTCAGTTTGTTTTGTGAGATTAAGAGTCACTTATGGTTTGTCTCCCTCCCAATCCCATCTTGTTTCATTTATTCTTCTCCTACCCCCTTAACCCCCCATCTTGCATGGGAGAGAGATTTCTAAGCAGACTCCCCGCTGAGCATGGAGCCTGATGCGGGGCTCCATCCCAGGACCCTGAGATCATGACCTGAGCCAAAATCAAAGAGTCAAAAGCTTCACTGACAGCATCACCCAGGCACTCCAGGGGACAACTTTTTTCTTAACTGGATAGTGAACTCCCACAAAAGAAAGCAATATTTTTGAATGCCTATAAGCGATGAGTTTCTTGCCACACCATCAACTCTTCTCCCTAAATCTCATCTCCTAAAATAGTGCAGCTGCCTTTGCTTCCTTTCCCTCATCATGTGATTGTTAGGAAGAACAGAAACTTTAGAGAGAGACTGTCTATAGAGAGAAGTGAACTTGGAAGTTTTAATATTCAGAATATTAACTTATTTAACAGGAAATTCAATTATGTACAAGGTACATTTGTGTTTAAAATAAACTTCAACTACCAGGAATGACTACTACTATTGGGGTCCAAGCAGATTTTAGCCATCCTCATGCTAATCTTACAATTGCATTAAGTGGGATTTCCATTTCAGCTGTTGTCTTAAAATTTGCATGGTTATTTTCCCTAGCTATAGAAGTATTTGATACAGGTTTTTGGAGAGTACATTTTTATGTTGATTGGTCTTCTGATTTAATTTTTTATCTTTTGACTTTTCAATTTTGAAATGATGTCAGGCTTACAAAATGGTTGTCAAACTATCTCAAAGACTTCCTATATAGCCTTTTCTCAGAGTCCCCAAACACTAACATCTTCCACAACCTCAGAACCAGAACAATGAACAACACCAGGAAGTGAACATTAATACAATACCACTGGCTAATCTACAGACATGATTCAAATGTTTGCAGTTGCCCCACTGGCGTCCTTTGGACCCAACCCCAGACCCCTGATTGCATGTGGAGTTCCTAAGCCCTTGGTTTTCTTTCATCTGAAACCGCTCCTAAGTCTTTATCCTTCTTGACTATAAAACCTTTTAAGAGATCTAACCAGTTATTTTCTAGAATGTTCCTCAGTTTGAGCTTGATGTCTCCTTGAGATCAAATCCAGGTCGTGCTTTTTGGCAGGAATACCATAGACGTGATTTTGTGTCATCCTCAGAGCATCACATCAGGAGACACTCGATGTCTCTTTGTCCCATTTACTGGTGAAGTGACTGAGGGTAAAATTACTTTCAATCACTTGCCTGAAATGGAAGCTGTCAGGTTTCTGCACTGTAAAATGACTATTTAGCCTTTTGTAATTAATAAGTGTGCAGATTTCTTTTAACTGTTAATCACAGAAAACCTGGAAATATATATATGTATATATATTTTTTTATATTATATCCACAAAGGGGACAAGTCAACATACCCCCAGTTCCATTGCTTTTTCTTTTTCTCCTGTCTTAGTGCACAAGGTGTGTAAGCCCATGCCCCTGCTTGCTCCTTAATATACTCTGTGTCTGTCTCTGTGCCATAATTTTCCCTTTTTGCAAGGACCCCGGTCTCCTTGGACTAGGTCACCTTAATGACACCTCCCTCATTGCTTCTGCACCAATCCCACTTCCCAATAAGGCCACATCCTAAGATACTGTGGGTTCAGACTTCAACATGTGAATGTAGGGGAGACACAATTCAACTCACAACAGTCCCGGTTTATACCGTACTCTTGTTAATCTGTATGATCAGCAAAGAATAGAGCAGCTAACCAAGGACCACCAAACTCAGGCCTTGTCCGAATCTCTTTTACCCTGGAAAACTGCTTGCTTAGGTGAGAAAAGTTTAGGCCCAAAAAGACCACAGCAACATTTATCAATTAATTTTAGAGAAACTCATACACCTAGGGACCTGAAGAGTCCTAGTGCGACATAGTCGCAGGCCCCTTCACTGTCATTGTCTCATTCCTCCCGGGGGACTTCATTTATCTACAGTTTTCTTAAAATGATGTGCTGGGACTGAATATGATACTAGCAATGTGACCTAAGTAGCCCGAGTCCACCCTGGACCATCATGTCCCTCGTTCTTGTGTTATCCTTCCATTGTCCCCCACCTCTGTGTCTCATCTACTTCCTCTTTGAGAACTCAATGATCTTCCTGGAATTTAAGCCTACGGGTTGTCCTCCTGCTTGTCTCTGGGAAGCCGCATGAAGGATGCCCCCCCACCCACAACGCCCTTCCCAGCTGCTCAGCCCTTTCCCTGGTCCCACTCCCAGGAGCACGATGGCAGCTTCTATGTGGTAGGCACAACTTCCTCTAGTGTTGGGTAAAAATGCTCACTAAGCAAGTCTCTCTTCCTCCATGGCAACACCTGCCCATGGATATGCTGAGGTTCTGTGTGGGGTGTAGTGGAGGCATCCTTTCCTGGCATTTTCTCCCCCACTTCTCTTTCCACTAAGTTGCAGGGGGCATAGTGACTTTTGATTTGGACCCCATGCGCTGGCCACAGTCCATTAGCCCAGCCATGGGCACTGATCCCAGCTGGGCCAATGAATCCTTATTTGTGACTTTTTGAGAAAGAGGAAGTCGTACCAGTTTCTCCTTGGGTGCTGGACCATGGGTTATGCTGCTGTTGGCCACGTTTCCCACTCTGCAGAATAAAGAAGTGAAAACATGCCAAGTTGCAGAGAGAGGATAAGAATCGTATAATGAGCCTCATGTGATATTAACGGTCTACCAGGCACTGTTCTGAACATTGGACATTTTAATTCATTGAACCCTCCCAACCCATGAGATAGGCTGATGATGTTGTAGTTACTGTTACTCCCAGATGTAAAGGCAAGAACAGAAGTGGACCGAGTGTCTAAGTGACTCTCAAGCCTCTTGCCCCAGTCATTCTTCTTTTTTAATTAATTATTTTTATTAACATATGATATATTATTTGCCCTAGGGGTATAAGGTCTGTGAATCATCATCCAGTCATTCTTGAAGGCTCTAGTGGCACATCTGTCACTAGGTCCTGTGGGACATTTGGGTCCCCTTCCGAGAGATTTCCCTTCCTTATGCTTAAGCTAGCTGTAGTAGGTCTGTCCTTGACAACCAAAATACGTTTCAGAATGAACCAGATAATGTAGCAATTCAAACAATAATTAATAGCTAATAACTAATATTATTAGAATTCAGCTCCTATTTTTCTCTCATGTGCATGAAAGAAATAACACATTTCTGTCAAATCCTTGGAAGAAATCCAGTCACGCCATACCCACTGCATCTTTTTTTTTTTTTTAAGATTTTTATTTTATTTTTTTGACAGAGATCACAAGTAGGCAGAGAGGCAGGCAGAGAGAGAGAGAGGAGGAAGCAGGCTCCCCGCTGAGCAGAGAGCCCAATGCTGGGCTCGATCCTAGGACCCTGGGATCATGACCTGAGCCGAAGGCAGAGGCTTTAACCCACTGAGCCACCCAGGCGCCCCACCCACTGCATTTCTTTCTGCAGCAAGCTAAAGCACGGGATTCTCTCTGAAGGTGACACAATGAAGTTAATCTGAACCTTCAATGTGTATAAGTGTATTAATATGCTTCTATAATAGAAACCGAAATATAGGTACAATTCATGGTTATACTATGTTCAGCCTAGAATTAAGACGGCCAAAACAGCACCTCCAGGAAAGAGCAATTGTTGCTGATATTCAGGAAGGAGTAATTTAGAAAATACTAGAATACCATAAGAGAGCAAAGAAGATTTTGTATTTTAATTTTGGTATTTTCAACTGTACTGTTACCTTATTATCTTAATGGTCAGTTAAGGGAATGAAGAAGAAAAATGCAAATAAAGGTGCTTCAGCGAGATCCCAAATTGGGTTTTTTTTTTCCTTTTATTGATGCCTGCAGGTGTCTTCAAAAACATTACCCAGCCAACCTACCTACTGCCAGCGTGGTTATTTGCTTCTACAATGAGGAATTTAACGCCTTGTTTCGGACCATGTCCAGTGTCATAAACCTCACTCCACAGTACCTCCTTGAAGAAATCGTTTTGGTAGATGACATGAGCGACTTTGGTAAGACAGAATGCCATCTTCCTATGTCGTGGGCTCTGAAGCAGTGCGGTCTCTGATGGCCGGTGTGTGACTTTACCTTTTCTAGACATTTTCCACTTGGCGGGTGTCAAGGCAGAAGCTGTGGGCACACCGGTGGGGATGGAAGTGCTGGTCCCTGTCCTGTGGTGTGGGGCTCATGGGTGGTGAGCGCTTCCATGAGGTGACTAAATGTAGGGGCAACATAAGACCAACCTGGTCTTCAGGGATCACGGAGGACATTCAGGAAGAAGCGACAGCTCCGCTGAGGTCTGAGGTGCCCAGCTGGAGAGGAGGGGAAGAGTGTTCTAGGCAGAGGCCATAGCACCGTAAAGGCCCAGAGGCCAGAGGTAATGTGGTGAGTTGGGAATAGTTCTGTACTTCATGTAGTGTGTGTGTGAGTGTGTGTGTGTGTGTGTGTGTGTGTGTGTGTGTGTGTGTGTAGCATTGGAGGAGGGGGGTGGACATAAAACCAGAGCTCTAACAAGACCACACGGCTTGTGAAGGGCACTGTTGGAATTTTCTGTGAAGTGGAGTGCTGTGACGGGCTTAATGCAGGGGAGTGACATGACCCAAGTCCTCCTCGGGAAATAAAATTTTTTTTAAAGATTTTATTTATTTATTTGACAGAGAGATCACAAGTAGGCAGAGAGGCAGGCAGAGAGAGCGGGGGGAAGCAGGCACCCCGCTGAGCAGAGAGCCCGACACGGGACTTGATCCCAGGATCCTGAGATCATGACCTGAGCCGAAGGCAGAGGCTTAACCCACTGAGCCACCCAGGCGCCCCACAAAGAATTCTTTTTTTAAAAAGTTTTTTTAATACTCCATAGTGTATATGGACCACATCTTCCTTATCCATTCATCATTGAAGGGCATCTTGGTTCTTTCCACAGTTTGGCGACCGTGGCCATTGCTGCTATAAACATTGGGGTACAGATGGCCCTTCTTTTCACTACATCTGTATCTTTAGGGTAAATACCCAGTAGTGCAATGGCAGGGTCATAGGGAAGCTCTATTTTTAATTTCTTGAGGAATCTCCACACTGTTCTCCAAAGTGGCTGCACCAACTTGCATTCCCACCAACAGTGTGAGAGGGTTCCCCTTTCTCCACATCCCCTCCAACACACATTGTTTCCTGTCTTGCTAATTTTGGCCATTCTAACTGGTGTAAGGTGATATCTCAGTGTGGTTTTGATTTGAATCTCCCTGATGGCTAGTGATGATGGACATTTTTTCATGTGTCTGATAGCCATCTGTATGTCTTCACTGGAGAAGTGTCTGTTCATGTCTTCTGCCCATTTTTTGATATGATTGTCTGTTTTGTGTGTGTTGAGTTTGAGGAGTTCTTTATAGATCCTGCATATCAACCTTTTGTCTGTACTGTCATTTGCAAATGAGTATGATGCCTCCATCAGAAAGGATGAATACCCAACTTTTGTAGCAACATGGACGGGACTGGAAGAGATTATGCTGAGTGAAATAAGTCAAGCAGAGAGAGTCAATTATCATATGGTTTCACTTATTTGTGGAGCATAACAAATAGCATGGAGGACAAGGGGAGTTAGAGAGGAGAAGGGAGTTGAGGGAAATTGGAAGGGGAGGTGAACCATGAGAGACTATGGACTCTGAAAAACATCTGAGGGTTTTGAAGGGGCGGGGGTGGGAGGTTGGGGGAACCAGGTGGTGGGTATTAGAGAGGGCACGGATTGCATGGAGCACTGGGTGTGGTGCAAAAACAATGAATACTGGGGCACCTGGGTGGCTCAGTGGGTTAAGCCGCTGCCTTCGGCTCAGGTCATGATCTCAGAGTCCTGGGATCGAGCCCCGCATCGGGCTCTCTGCTCTCTAGGGGAGCCTGCTTCCTCTTCTCTCTCTGTCTGCCTCTCTGCCTGCCTGTGATCTCTCTGTCAAATAAATGAATAAAATCTTTAAAAAAAAAACAATGAATACTGTTACGCTGAAAATAAATTTAAAAAATTAAATAAAAAAATAAAAAAACAATAAATAAATAAAAATATTTTACTGGTAAAAAAAAAAGTTTTTTAAAAATATTTATTTATTTGAGAGAGAGAGAAGAGGGGAGGGGCCAGGGAGAGGAAGAGAGAAACGCAAGCAGACTCCACCCTGAGCCCGAATAGGGCCTGATCCCATGACCCTAAACCAAGATGAGGCCTGAGCCGAAACCAAGACTCAGAAGCTCAACCTCCTGCAGCAGCCGGCCGGCCCTCCTGAGAGAATTCTCGTCGCACCCCCGGAAGCCCAGTGCATGATCCTCCCTGCCCGCTGGCTGGAAGGAGTTGTGATACTAGCACAAGATCTGATTGAAGGCACTTGGCCTTTGAAATGAGTCATCTGTTTTATAACCGAATTATAAACCTGAGGCAAGCCAAGAGGACCCAGATGAATGAAAACTTCTTGGAGTCTGCAGATGCCTGTGGGGTCCATTCCCCACAGAAGCAATATGTCAGTACAGGAGAGATATCCTGCCTGAAAGTTAACCTAATCCGCTGTGAATCTGACCCATGGCGGGCTGGGAAAGGAAGAGGAGGGACAGAAGGAAGGTGAATCGGCAGGGGTAGAAAAGAGGCCGTCCCGGGAGATTCACCAGTGGGGAAGTGACTCTAGGTGTGTCAGATGGAAGGTGGAAAAAACTGCTCAAGCTAATGTCGGCCGCATGTAGGAATTTCACTCGGTGGCCAGGCACTACCGTTTATGACATTATTTCTCCGGGAGCCATTGTTTGTTTCTACTGTTGTGCGCAGGAGGTGAGATGCAGAGACGGTCAGATTCCTAACCTGATCAGTTGCACTGAGACCCACATCTGGACGCATGCTGGGCGGGGGATGGGGTGGGAGGGGAACTTCTGCGAGACTGTGGAGTTCTGACCGCTCACCTAGAAGGACAAGGGTCCTGCTGTGGACATACAGTTCCAGGATGGCCATGGGACAGCTCCCCAAGCCTTTCAGAACGATGCCATGATGGGACACCTGGGTGGCTCAGTCGGTTAAGCATCTCCCTTCGGCTCTGGTCATGATCCCAGGGTCCTGGGATCGAGTCCCTCGTTGGGCTCCCTGTTCAGTAGGAAGCCTGCTTCTCCTCCCCCTGCCTGCTGCTCCCTGTTTGTGCTTTTTCTCTCTGTCAAATAAATAAATAAAATCTTTAAAAAGAAAAAAAAAAAAAAAAGGACCACGCCATGAGTTCAGAGGCGCACCCAGTGACCGCTCGGAAACTTCGGCCCCAGGGGAATCACCACCGGTGCCCAGCATCTGGCTGCTGCTGGACCAGATGTGCCGACTTCTCCTCCTCCCTCCGGGCTCGCCTAGGATGTGGTTTCACCTGCTGCACCAAGGAGGCTACTGTCTGACCCATTCAGATGCTCAAACACACCCAAGAAACCCTAACCCTTACCCCCCCACCCCCACCCCCACTCACTCTGCTGCTGTGGGTGGTCCTCCCCGGGGACGGAGCTGAGACACTTTGCACAGCTGAAAGCGGGAAAGTCGGGTTGCTCGGGAGCGTCACAGCTCAGGCTTTTTTGATTAAAATTTCAACAGTGGTTTATCAAAATAGAGGTATTTCATTAGAAACACAGAAGGATGTGTGCAGAGTATCTCAATGCCGAATATCTTTCTCTTCCTCATGTAGGGTGAAGTGTTTTTTTTTTTTTTTTTTTAAAGATTTCATTTATTTATCAGAGAGAGGGAGAGAGAGAAAGAGGAAGCATGAGAAGGGAGAAGGTCAGAGTGAGAAGCAGACGCCACATGAAGATGGGACCCCGATGCGGGACTCGATCCCGGGACTCCAGGATCATGACCTGAGCCAAAGGCAGTCACTTAACCCACTGAGCCACCCAGGCACCCAGGGTGAAGTTTTTAAAATTAGAACTTCTGTGGAAGAACATGGCTTTTAGGAATTAGTCGAAATTGTGATAAGTTGTTTTATTCTCTGTAGTTGTAGTTTATACATTGTCAAGAGTTGAGTTTTGTTTTGTTTCATTTGTTTTTCCCAGATGATTTGAAAGAGAAACTAGACCATCACCTGGAAATTTTTCGGGGAAAGATTAAATTCATAAGAAACAAGCAGAGAGAGGGGCTGATCCGATCGAGGCTGATGGGAGCTGCTCGTGCTTCAGGTATGAGCCTTTCATTCATTCGGGACCTGACCCGTTTTCTGCGTGCCGGAGCCCTTCCTGCCCGAACAGGACCTCGTGGGCCCCTGCAAGTCTCCACTGGCATGAACAGAAGACCGGAAGTGCCCTTCAGCCAGAGGAATCTTGGACTCTGAAAGTACCCATTCTGCTCCAAAATGTCAATTCGTTATTTCGGAAGGCAGGTATATTTTTTGCAGGGGCCATAATGTCAGCCCCCGTCACTGGATGGGTTCCCCCAGATACAGACTGAGATGGAGCTGCCCAGGCAGCCAGCAGAGCAACGCTGCTTGGGGACAGCGGGGGCCATGCTGCAGCGGCCCGTCCCGTGGGAAACCCCGAGGCTAAGTGCTCCGGTGGGCTGTGCGGCTCTCCAAAGCTCAGGTGGGCTAGTGGGGAGCTCCAGAGCACAGATCGCCCAGGAGAGGGGTCCAGCTCAGGCTTTCCACCCCAACACACATGCACACACACACACACACACTCAGAGTGTGCTTGTCATTAGCTGCGAGTTCCCGGGGAGGCTGGGGACGTTGGTGTGACTGCTGCAGCAGATCGCAAAGCCTGGGAAACTGTCAGGCCGGGTCCCCTGAAGGGAGTCTGAGCTGAGAGGCAGTGGCATCACTCCCGTCCCTGTCTCTGTGGTCACATGGCCTCCTCCCTGTGTCCACGTCTCCCTTGGGTCAAGGGCCCCCCGATACTCCAGCAGGACCTCACCCTTATGAATTACATCTGCAACAACCCTATTTCCAAATACAGTCACCTTCTCAGGTACTGGGGGTTAGGACTTGAATATATCTTTTGGGGGGGACACAAATCAACACGTAAAACTACCAAAGAGTTTTGGGTGTTTTTGTTTTGTTTTTTTTGTTTGTTTTTTTTAAAAGATTTTATTTATTTATTTGACAGAGAGAGAGACAGAGAGAGGTCACAAGTAAGCAGAGAGGCAGGCAGAGAGAGAGGGGGAAGCAGGCTCCCTGCTGAGCAGAGAGCCCGATGTGGGGCTCCATCCCAGGACCCTGAGATCATGACCTGAGCTGAAGGTAGAGGCTTAACCCACTGAGCCACCCAGGCGCCCCTGTTTTGTTTTTTAAAGAGAAAGTCTTATTCATTTTTTATTTTGAAAAATGTCAAAGCCACAGAACGCTTACATAAACCTTCCCCTAGATTTACAGGATGCTGATATCTGTCAATACACACACTAGCTCTCCTCTGCCATCCCTCCCCCTACACACGCAACACACACACACACACACACACACACATTGCCTCTATGTCTAAAAGTAAGATCAGCTTATACTTTTCTTTTTTTTTTTAACTGTTTTCCTATACTTTGCTTTACAAGACTTTTAGAATGAATTGTATGGTGTTCCTCCGCCCCCGTCCTTTTCTTTTTGCTGAATATCTAGTAAAACAGATTATCTGTGTTTGGAAAATTACATAAAATTGTCCTATAACCTATCAAGGCACTGGTATCTTTTCTGGTTTCCTCTCTAATCCAGGTATTTTTTGAGGAGTGGGTTTTAAAGTTTTCAAACATCAGTAATTGCTCATCACTAGCTTAATTCCTATTGGAATTTGTGGACTGTTCTGTGGAGACTTTTTTGTCTTCGAGCTGGGTCAATTTTTCAAGACTTCTATGTGTTTTTAAAAAGAATACATTGTATCTTTTTGGTTGTAGGTTCCATATATGTCTAATTTTGTTTTTCAAATATTCTGTATTCTCATCCATCTAATTTGACTCGGCCCATCCATATCCAGTGGATTACGCTACAATCTTCAACTATGATTCTCGATCTGTCCATCCTCTTCTGGCAGTTTCGTCGGGCTTGCTATGTGCCCATCTGTCCATATTGGCCCGCCCCACCCGGGGACGAGGACGTGCTCCCAGCTTCGAAGCTGTTGGGTCCTGTGGGGTGGGCAGCAGCTCGTGAGCCCTCATTAATGTATTCACATGTTCACTCCTCCAGTCAAGGGTTTATCCAGCACCTACTATGGGCTATCTGGGCACATTTATTCTTTTTTCTTCATTTGTATCAACTCTATTGAGATACGCCTCACTTAAATTCTACCCTCCTGAACAGGGAGATGGGTTGTCATGTGACGTTAACACGTGTGCACGTGTGTAGACCGGTCTCTCCTGGAGGAAGTAGCATTTGCCCTATCGCCAAGTGACTCTGCGGTGAGGGCCTGCAGTTCTGTCCCCAGCTGTCACTCACACTTTGTCACTTACTCATCCCCCCCTCGCTCTACCCCGGATGACCTTCTTGCCGCTCCTCAGACACACCGAGCGCACTCCTATCTCAGAGCCTCGGCGCATCATGTCTCCCCCCTGGAATTTTCTCCGTGTGTCTTCATGACCTGCCGCATCACTTTGCTCAGTTCTCTGTTCCAATGCTTCTTGATCAGAGAGGCCTTTCCAAGCCACCCGGTGTGAGATAGCAGACCCCTGCCTCTTTCCATCATCCTTACTCTGAGAGCTTTCTCTTCCTGATGTTTGTTGCCTCTGCCATCTGTCTGGGTTGGCAGTGCTGCCCACAGGATGACAGAAGTTGCCCATAAACCTCAGGAGCTGAGATGGAGCGCTGTGAACTCCGGGTTGTGGCCCCGGGAACGAAGGGAAATGACTGGGATGGGGGAGAGCAGTCCACTGGGAGAATCAGAAGGCGGGCTTTTCGCAAACAAGAAGGAGAAAGGAGAAAGCCATCATCAGATGGTGTGAACCTAAAGGGAAGGAGGTATTCCGCCGGCTGCACCCCCACCCCCCGGCTGCAGGGGAGCAGAGCCGGTCTGGTTTGGAAGCAGCCTTGGGTAAGTAGGAAATGCCAGTGTTGCCCTGGACCCAAGGATTCATGCTGCCTGGGGGGAAGGAGGAGCTTCCTATCAGCAAGGTAGATGGGGGCCAACAGCCTCTTCTAGGGAGGGTCAGGGTTTACTTTTTTTTTTTTTTAAGATTTTATTTATTTATTTGACAGAGAGAGACACAGTGAGAGAGGGAACACAAGCAGGGGGTGTGGGAGAGGGAGAAGCAGGCTTCCCACCAAGCAGGGAGCCCGATGCGGGGCTTGATCCTAAGACCCCGGGATCATGACCTGAGCTGAAGGTAGATGCTTAACGACTGAGCCATGCAGGCGCCCTGGGTCAGGGCTTACATAAGGTAAGAAAGCTGTTAAGAGAATTTCGTGGAAAAAAATTAGTATAGAGAAAGTCACTTTACATGAGGACCTTTGGAAAGGGTAAGAGGGTCATCCACTGTGGAAGGAAGGTGTTGGGGGAGCAAAGGCAGCACGGCCTTGACGGGTGAGGACGCAGGAGAGTATCTTGCACGGAACCGGTTTGGACAGTCAGCGGGTAGCCAGGAAGGCGGAGATGAGCTGTGGGTTTCCGCTGATACCCTACAGCAGAGGGTTCAAACCTAGCGGGCGTGTTGCCTCGTGTTCAACAGAAGGAGGACCTGTGTCGTCTAGGATGGTAGACGGAACAGTGCCCTCCCCAGGAGGTTTCCTAATCCCCAGAACCTGCTAATGGGCCTTATGTGGCCCACATGATTAAAAGGAAAGCCCTGAAGAGTTCTGTTATTTGATCGGGCTAAACTATTCTTCCATTCCGCTGCTGGGTCACATTGAGGTTATTTCTACTTGGGGCTCTTACCAATGCACAAATCCTTGGGTCCCTGTCTCTGGGCAGATAGGCGCGGCATGGCCATGGAGCGTATGTCTGGAAGTGAAATTGCTCGGGTCCGGAGTGCGCGGATGCACTGATGTACGAGGTGATGGCAGACTAGTGATAGTCAGAAAGAGAATATTCCAGTAACCCCGAAGGGTCTGTACCATACCAACTGTACGGATGAACACATGTCATTGTGAGGGAGCCAAAGAAGCTAAATGCAAAAGAATAAAGTTGGAAAATCAGCAGGACTAAGCTATAATATTGTTATGTATGCATGATTAGATGAAAAACTAAAAAACAACAACAACCAGGAAGTTATTGCCATAAACCTTTGGTTCTAGCAGAGTGTCGAATGGGTGGTGGTAGGAGTCGGGGAGCATAAAATCCTAGGGTGCTAACCAGGTGCTACGTTTTGATTACATGGTACTTACATGTGTGTTTACTTTCCAATACATCATTGAGCTCTACATTTATCTTTTTTTTTAAAGATTTGATTTATTTATGTATTTGACAGAGAGAGAGAGCGATCACAAGGAGGCAGAGAGGCAGGCCGAGAGAGAGGAGGAAGCAGGCTCCCCCCTGAGCAGAGCCCAATGCAGGGCTCCATCCCAGGACCCTGAGATCATGACCTGAGCCAAAGGCAGAGGCTTAACCCACTGAGCCCCTAGGTGCCCCCATTTGTTGACTTTTAAAATCGGCCCCACCCCGAGAGAGGGAGGAAGTGCCCCTGGATTGCAGGTGGCCAGCAAGGCTCTCCACAGGGAAGGTGGAGTGAGCAGTCCTTGGTACATCCCACAGGCTTTCTGGGAGGAAGGCAGGGAAGGGTCCTTATCAGGCGATTTGAGTTCATGCCCCTCACTCTAGGCCTGTGGAGAAGTTGGCTTAATCTGGCAAGATGCCAATCTGGGATTAGATGGGATCCAGGTGAATTCTGTCTAACAGGCTATCTCTGTGAACATGAGAGAGCATTCTCCTTCCTCTAACCGAGAACAACGGATGCAGAAAAAACGCTCCATTTCCTGGCAGTGAACTTGAGGTTCCCACGGAATCTTCCTGCAAGCATAGGACTCCGCCAAGAGGACTTCCATGCCGTGTTGTTCTGTTATGATGTGTAAATTACCCCCGTAAAACGCTTTGATGAGTGTAAAACCAGTAGACTTTGTTGGACGGAGGTCCAGGGTAGCTTGTGCCCTTAGGCTTCACGGTGTAAATTAGAATCAGGAAAAGCTTGACATTGCATCTGGAACAATTTTAAATTCTTTTGCAACTTAAGATGCTGCGCTTATGGTCTTCCTGGGTCATTAAAATTGTCAAAAGTT